CGAAAGCACCAACCAAAACACGAACGAAGAAAAGCACAAAACGAGATCATCCAAATTGATTGAAAAAAAGAGGAGATTTGAGAGAGAGAGAGAGAGAGAGAGAGAGAGAGAGAGAGAGAGAGAGAGCGGGCTACGACACAGAGAATTGGCCCACGCAATCGCTTTGTCTAGATGAACAAAATGGCATCATTGTTGATTTTTAATTTCGTTTGTCGCTTGCAGCTATCGTCTGCGCTCACTGCGACAAAGAATTAGATGAACACCTACAAGCAATCAAAGATCACAATCGAATTAAATCGGATTTCCGATGCTACAATTCATTTGATCAGCATAACACCCAATTCCATTTTCCAAACAATTTCCAATTAAAACATTGCATAATTCCATTAAATCCAGGTAAAAAAAAACATTCAGCGATAACTTGAACTGCGCCATCGTTTCGAACAAATCAAGCACTGATAACAGCAACTATTTTGAATTCAGAAATATAGACGCAACTCAAACACGCACACCCAATAAACCGTTGATACACTTTCTGACACTCTTTACTTTCATTCCACTTGGAACTAAGTGAATGTTTTAAATTGTCTGTTACTTTGTTGTGCTGCGTCGAACCGAAAAAAATATAATAAAATGACGAAAGGAAAAAAAAGTGTACGCAAAAATGTGTAGGGTGCTTGGCAACAGGTTAACCAGATTCATGTACACACAATTTTGGTTTCGCTTGCGTGTCTACCTCTCCCGTTTTCGGCCAAAATGTTATGTATGTGTGTAATTTTTGCTACGCGCGTTGCGTTCAAATAAAATAAACACATTTGGTAACAGCTCGTTGAAGTAAAATATTGATAATGGCGCTAAGAAAACGGTGGCCGGATTAAAGAATGCGCAAATATTATGCGTTTGCCACAAAAGCGGTTCGGTGGTTCTTTTTTTCCCGTTTGTTTGCTCATTTCGTTCTTCTTATGGAGATAAAGATGCTGAAATGCAGCCAACAGACGCAGATTGAATGATATGCGACGTAATTTTGGTAGTTCAACAGACAGAGACACAACTTGCGTTACCTTCATATAGCCAAATCACGCATTCGCTTCGCAAACACACAAACACACGAAAGAAGAAAATCCAGTTTTTTCCTAAAACAACAACAACAATACATTTTTTCCATCCACATTCTGAACTCGAATCGAAATGTAAAAAGTCAAGCGATAAGCGAAAAGCATTATTTTCGGAACTTTGTCGTTTGCCGCTATAAATTCAACGACTCAAATTAGATTTCATGGAGTCGCCAGAGACAAAAAAAAACGACAGAAAGAGAGAGAGACGCACACTAACATTTGCATGAAGTGTATATGTGCGTGTGCTGTTTTTTTCTTCATCTCTCGCGCGCCCGGAATTTGAAGCAGATCACATTCGATGATAGTGCGTCGTGCGTGTGTATATGCTTGTGTCAAGGTCCATTTTATTCATGCACAAACTCCGAAGAATAAGTTTCTTTTCATCATGGAATTACCGAGTTCGATTAAAAAAACATGTTGTTGTATATTTCATTGGAATAAACGCATTAACATAACAAACAAACATTGCGAATGCAATTTTTTTTTCTCGCCACATTTCTATGGGTGAGATTGAGAGAAGTGTATGTTTTTTTTCGAATTTATATTTTTAAAAAGTCGAGTATGTTTTTCATTGACTTTGTTACGAAAGAGAAGAGTAAATTTCTTTCGACTTAAGAATAGTTAAAGTAGTGTATGTATTTTGACTGTTTGTGGCTATGATAAAGGCGAGTATGTTTCATAAACCTTAATTTGCGTTAAACAGAAGTATGTATTTTGTTAGTTTGGAATACCAAGGAGTATGTTTTTCTGACTTTGGTTGTTGTAAAAGGCGAGTATGTTTGTCCAAATTGGTGAATATTATTAATTTATTTGAATTTAAGTATTAGGCAAACATAATCAATAGAACTAATCATCTGTACATCTGGCGGCTTCCAATACTTCAATTTAACAGTGATGTCAGCAATACAAATCAATTGTTTTGATTTGCGTTGGTATTGGTTGTCGGTGTCAGCGTGTTTTGAACATTTGCTGTTCTGCGTGAGTGAAAGAGATTCTCTCACTCTCTCCGATGCGTTGCAATTTCGCAATGTTTGTTTGTTGTCACATTTCTTCTGTGTTATTTTCCATGCACTATCATTTCAGTGATATTGTTATTTCACTCTTATACATTGATTCGTATGCTGTTCGTTTATGCTAATGCGGTACAATAAGCAGAGCTCGATTACGTTCTTTCTTTAATGCTAACAGTTGTGAACTCCTGATACTCTTCGTCGAAAGAACTTAATATTTTTTAACCATTAATGCAAACATACTCTACTTTTTCGAAAACCAATGTGTTAAATTGAAGTATTGGGAGCCGCCAAATGTACAGATGATTAGTTCTATTGATTATGTTTGCCTAATACTTAAATTCAAATAAATTAATAATATTCACCAATTTGGACAAACATACTCGCCTTTTCCAACAACCAATATCAGAAAAGCATACTCCTGTTTATTGGTATTCCAAACTAACAAAATACATACTCTTGTTTAACGCAAATTAAGGTTTATAAAACATACTCGCCTTTATCATAGCCACAAACAGTCAAAATACATACACTACTTTAACTATTTTTAAGTGGAAAGAAACTTACTCTTCTCTTTCGTAACAAAGTTAATAAAAAACATACACTTCTCTCAATCTCACCCATAGATTTGTTTCTCGTAGCAGCGACGCGATGATACGATCACGTCATATGAACAATGATGATGATCATGCGTTATCGGTTTCGGCATATTCGTAGTGGGCAATTCTTCTTTTATCTGAATGCAACTGTGCGCATGTGCGTGAAAAGTTTCTGATTAAATTCGTTTTTTTTTCTTTCTTTCTTCAACGAACAAAAAAGAAAACAACACAGAAATAATCCATTGAAGGAGAGCAACCATTTTAATATGTAATTTTTTGTTTGTTTACAGTGAATAGATAAAAAGACAAAACACTTCTCAGAATGAACTAAAGTGATTGCTGATTTAAAAAAAATATATATGTATGTAAAAGGCGCGAAACGGAGAAGAAGCAAAAGAAACGAAACGAAAATAAAAAAAAATAAACAAAACCCCTGCAATCGAAAGTGAATCGTAAAAATACCGTTGAACCAACAAGTGAATGAAATCTTCGACAAACCAATCGCTATTAAAAAATCTCGAGCACTGAGCGCACGAACGAGTGAATGTGTATGTGTTTTGTTTTATAAAAGCCTCCGAACGCACCCGCCCGCTCGCCCGAAGCCAATCAATTGAAATTGAGCTAAAAATACAATGTGCTCATAGTTACTTCAAACACCAAAACAAAAGTTGTAATTCTAATTGATTTCTAATCGTGAACCACGAAATAAGAGCACACAAAATTGGGAGCAAAGAGAATGCAGGCTGTCAAGTTAGGTGAGTTGTTAAAAAAAAACGCTAACGAAATTGCATTTTCTGCCCAAAATTCACGTAAATATTCATTTTATTGCGGCCAAACATTTTGCTTTTATTGACGTGAGCGTTCATACGCTCTCTCCTTCTCTTCCTCTCTCTCTCTCTCTCTTTTTCGCTCGCTTACTCGTTTACCGCGCTCAGCTCACATTCGCCGTCATTGCATCGGATTTGTTTATAAACACAACTGTTCACCATCACAGCCGATCTTAATAGGTCACACGCGTAATAATATCTAGGCGATAGATGTATGTTGTTTGTCACATTGTCGACTATTTATTACTATAACACTATCAATTTACAAATGTGTTGACTGGTTGTTTTCCAACAACTTCACACTTTTAATCAACCGTAGTATCACGAACAGAAAAAAAATCCAACACGAAACGTTCCAAGTCTCCCTTCCGTAACTTTCAAATTTTCCACCCATTAGTTATTAAACTAAAAATAATAGTAAACAGTCGAAACAGCGATTTATTTTTCGTTTTTTCTGTCGCGATATGCAATTGAATTTGAACTTGGGCTCATTTATCATCATCGTTGACGTCCGTTTGATCGTTAAAAATTCAATTGTTCATGCGAATTGCACAAGAATGTAATCGATCAAGCAAACGCAAAGAATGCATCGGAAATGGTGTCAAGTAATGTGGAGCTCACATAAGAAACAGAAAAACAACAACAGAAACACAACCGGCGCGTGATTATCACCCAAATGATGAGTGTATGTTTGTCTCGTAATGAATGGAAAATTGCTGGCACAAATCAATTTGCAGCCGATTCGGAATCGAACGTTAGCGTCAGTTGTGACGTACGACGCCTCACATATTATAAATTTTAATTTATTTTTATTAATTTTGCAATGGAAAGTTTCCCCCGTAGTAAGTCTTTGGCCTCATTTTCTTTTGTGCGCGTTCACTCTCTTTCTCTCTCTCTACCTCTCGGTTTCCATCTCTTTATTTTTCTCTCTGTCTGCCCAGACGTGTGCAAGGTCAAAAATTCTAGAGGGGGGGGG